TTGTCCATATAGGTTTTACATTCCAAGTGGTGTTTCACCTCTTCCTTTGACATTTATTCTGCAAGCTGCAAATGTATATAATCAGACTGGGGGGGTTTTTTCTGTTCATCATGAGTTTTTCTGCGTGCAAGTGTATTTGATTGCTGTTGATAGACTCCAGTGCTCAAGATGACATAATTCTTCTGGAGTTTGGCACTCCTGGGGAGGCTGCAGACGTTGGCCTGTCACCCTTCCATCTTCCTTCAGTGATGTGAGGGACACTTAACTCTTTGTCTTTATTTTCTGGTGGGTTACTTTTCTGTGGCAGTTCTCTGAATTCCTGACTTACCTGTCATTGCAGATCTGCATAGATATTCTTGGGGCATAGACTGTTTTTTGTTGGACCTTCCTTTCACAGGATAAAAGACCTGACTTTCTGCTGCAAAACTGCTTTTTGCCTTTTTTCCTCTGCCATTTCCCATTGTATTGTGTTTACTGTGGACTTTTACATAGTGCCCACTGCTATGGTGTGTATATGTTTGTATAGATATTTTTTATATATATACAAAACAATGTGACCAGCAAGGCTATCATGTGTCTTCTTCAGAGGGGTAGTTTTATTTTTATAGTGCTACTTTTATTTGTGAAAGCTGAGTTGAAGAACTTCATCTAGTACACTCATATTTAACTTGCCATGTATTGTAACATCTGTTTTTTTCAACATTACTGCTTCCCAGATTTTTCCCTCCCACTGCATGGGGTTTTTTGGATCATTTCCCTTCACTTGTCTTAACCTGCTTTTTTTCCCAGAATGAATCTCATTTGATTATTTTGAGACTGCATTTAAATTCTTTCTGAGTCCCTGTGCATTGTTTCCTTGTCCCCATTTTTGCAGCTTCTCCAAATGTGATGTTTCCTGGAGATTCAAGTTAGCATGCTGAGTAGAGTCTCTTCTGGATCATTAAAGAAAGTACCAAGTGAAACAGAACCCAGTACAGGTCTTAGCAATATTGCAGCTTCTTCCAGCGTTATCCTTTGCTTTTATCATGATTTATTTGCAGCCAGTTTTCAAATCAAGCCAAAGCATTCATCTCAAAGTGCAAATCACTATCAAATGTTTACTAATTTTCAAGCACATCACATGTGCTCTTTTTCCTTAGATTCCCAGTGCTGTAACACTAGCCAGAAAAGGGGCCTATTTCTAGCCAGTTTTGCTCTTCTGAATAGAAATCACGGTTTCATTGTCCTCGGGCTTGTAGTCTGGTTTACTTTATAGGAAGCCTCATGAATTAAAATAGCTGTGCAGCCCATTGTGAAATTTGGTTTTGTGGAGAAACAGGGCTGGGGAGAAAACAAGGAGAGTTTACACGTGTAAGGGGGAGAAAGAGAGAAGAGGGATATGTGTGTGCCAGGAAGAGGGGAGTCACTTTTATCTGCCTGTATAAAGTTAAGTCACTGAGGGATGGCAGTTAGGAATATTTCTGAAGAACTTCTCAAATGCCTGGATAATCCTGTGTTTCTAGACAGCGACTTTCATATAGTTAAGTGCTTTGCACTGTCCTGCTTTGCTTTCCTGTGGCATTTAGTGCTGTTGATATTTGAAGCTATGGCCAAGACATGAGATAACATCAGCAGCCACCACCTCCTAACTGGGCACCTTGGAATGTTCCCCTGCTTTAGCTCTTATCCAGGTATCTCTGACACAGAAAAGCCGTAAAACTTCAGACTTGTGGTAAAAGGACCTTTCTCGTAAGTACAACAGATAAACAGCTGTTCTGGGTAAGAAACAAAGGAATTGAGGCAAATACGAGGAGATGACATGGACCGTAGGATAAAAAGTGAGAGGATGCTTAGCCAAGAACTCTTTCAACGGGTAATGTGAATTATAGTCTCTGGAGATCAAGCAGAAGGCATCTCATTCATGGCTTTTTGCTTTGACCTGGCCATAATAAAATCTCGAAAGTTTCTGGTAACAGAAGTACCTGCACTGCACTGGTTAGAACAGTATTTTATACCAGTGATTTAAAAGGATCATTAATGCCCCTTTTCAACTTGGGGCAATTGGCTGGAAGCAGACAGAAATAAATTTAATCTATTTTTCTAAAAAAGCTTTACCTATATTATTGGGTTGCATACCATCTTCTCTTCTCTGCCTGCATCCCCTCCTCCACCTGGCTTTTGCTACCTTCTCACTGCCCAGCCTGGACTACCTGCCATGATGGGAAGGATGGCACGCGGCAATCTGGTTGTTGGTATCTGTAGTATCAGGTCCCTCGTGGAGAGCAGGATGGGGCTAGGGGAAGCAGGATGGGGCTAGGGGAAAAGCATAGGGTGTGTTTTGCACTGATGAAGAAGTTTGAGTTGGCCTGCAGGTGAAAATTGTTTCTCTTTTGGTTTTGGGTTTTCTTGCAAGAAATGCAGCTTGAGCAATTAGCACAAATACTGCTATTGAGGCTCCTGATCTAAGCTTTTAAAACTATTCCTAGTATGTTTACTACTGTTCTAGTGAGACATCAGAGGAATTGAATCTAGCAAGACATTATGAAGAGACGTTAGAAACTATGTTTTGTAATAACCTTACAAATTTTCATATAATGTACTGACAGCTGCCTTCAGCATTGTGGCAACTGCAGGTCTAGATGTACCTCAGAAATGCCTTTCTTGTTTTCCTCCTTTGTGTTACATTTTCCATCTGCAAAATCCCTTTTTCTTTGTTGGCTGCACTAAAGAAATAGGGCCAAAAAGACTGTAGCCACGTCAAAGTTGGCAGTCTCAGCCTTATTTGGGCACATAGGACTGATCTCTCTCTCTGCTTTCTCCTCCTCCCTCCTCTCCCAAGTACCTAAATCAAACAGTCCAGACCTAAAGACCAAGCCTAGACCTAAAGACCAAGCCTAGACCTAACACATGCCACCTATCACAATCTGTTTGACCTTACTCTCTGCTGAAACAACGCAGTACGTGGATTTTGTCTGAGTCAGAAAGTATCAAGGAGTGTCTGAGATATGGAGAGCAACCTGGGAGTTGCACGTGTCTGCTGATGCTCCCCTTCATCATGGCTGCACAGGTGGACCAAGGAGTAGGGGGAGCCTTCCAGCTCTGCAGTCCCAGGAACAGGACTAGCAGTGGTCTCCCATTTCCCTCCTCTGCCCACTCTGCTCAGTGTAGCCAGCAGGTCGGTTCACTGAGTACTGCTACAACCAAAGGATTTGTTTTTGCTTTGCTTTATTATTTAATACAATGATAAAAGGAGCCACTCCTTGTGATCATAAAGAGAAGCCTTAAAATCTTATTTAAGAGCACAAATATTTTGGGTTTTGACAGATATGGTTTGAAAATAACACAGATGTGCAGTGTTAGATTTCACCACTGCATGCAGTGTCTTTGTTTCAAACTGTAATTTTGGTAAATTTCGTAAATAGTGCTGGGCATGTGCTTTCCCAAAACCTTGCCCCCTGCAACCCAGGAAAAAAAAGTTTCTGGATTATGGGGTTTTCCCCCCCCGAATATACCCCCTTAGAGAGTTTGAAAGGAAAATGATCTTCGCAGAGTGAGCTTTCAGCCCTGAAAGGCTACAAACCTATGGGTTATTTTTAATCTAATTACCTCAAATTAAACAAAAGCTTAAAGATTATTTTGTTTGAGTTGAAGATGAGGGCAAAGAAGGCTTTATTTGCAGAGCAACTCTCTCTAGCCAAGAACATGCTTTTTCCATTGCGCTGTGCAGAATAATGCCTGTGGCAGTGCACTGCGGTAACAAATGACGCTTGGTTTTCTGAAGTACTGACTTTTATGAGTTGATGTGAGAGGATACACAGCTCTAGAGCAGTTCACTCCTTTCCCCTTCTCACCCCTCCTACGGATGCAGTGATCACTTTGGACTGGTGATGTTTTAGATGGAGCATGGTCTCCTTACACTTGCCTGGCAGTGGCTCATTAACTACATGTTAATTGAAACTGAAAGTTTGTCAGATGATTCAATTCAGTTACATGTTAAATAGATTCAGTGCAGTAAGCATTACTGCTGTGATGAAAATCTCTATGGAACTGATTTTTGAACTGATTTGGAGGGATTCATTGGCTTCATCAGCAGCTCTGAGAGATTGGCATCAGGAGAGTGAGCAGACATAGCCATGCTCCCAGCAAAACAAATCCTACTCTTCTCTTTCACCCAAAACAGTTTTAATTACTGCCCAGTGTGTTCCCTTTCCAGGACATGTGTTAGATAAATTTACTCTGGAGAGCTGAGAAGTGAAGAAGAAAATGGGAAGAATTGAAAGTCTGTTTTGAATTCTGTAATCTAAATGGCTGAAATGTCTAATTCCTTATCTTTCAGTGGATCAAGCAGTCACAAAATTTTCCTGAAGTTTGTTTCAAACATGAGCATATGTTACCAAAAAAAACCAAGGGAAAAAAAAATCCGCTTTAAACTGAAGGACTGAAAATTCAAAATTTACATCCTCCATGTCTCATCTTTTATACTTGGCCACTGCGAAAGTCCCTCTTAAGTTAGGAATTTATTCTGTATGCTGTACCTGCTTATGTGCTTGGTTTCTATGTGGAGCCAATTTTTATTGCTGAGTTATAAACCCTTTGAAAATAGGGGCTTGTAATGGAAGCTCTGACAGACCTTTAACTAGGTCAGTTTTATCTGGCTCCATTATCTTTGCTTTTGTTAAAGCATTAAATGGTTACAGATTTGTTTATTTTTCTCGCAGTCTCAGAATTTTAACATGGGTATGTTATTGAATTGTTTTTTCTTCAAAATGTCATGAACACGCAGCATTAGAGAGTTTATCCAGACTCTGCAGTCATCTTTAAAAGTAAATTGAACTATTGTGTCTTATTTCAAGATTTTCTTGCTTATAAAGTACATTTAGTCTGTAACATGTCATTGTGAAACTAATACCAAAATTTCCTTTTTCTCTTGCTATCTTATTCTAATCTTGAATTCTGCTCTATCTTCTGAGCTCCTTTCTGGGTAAAATGACAATGATGTTTTTTTGTTTGTCCCATTCAGATGAAAAGCCATACCACTGCAACTTTCCTGAAGAAGAAACCCCAATGATAACATCTCAGTTGGATGAACTCCCAAAGCTGGGAAGCCGCAACGCCAGAGAAAATGAGGCCAGGGAATCTAAACCAGAGATTCCTGCCCTGATGTCAGCACTGGAGAGTGTCATCAAGGAACCCTTTTCGAAATACCAAGGTTCTGCAGACATGAAGATGCCAGCATTTCATCACAGCCAGGGGCTTCCTTACTCCAGTCACATCACTAGCTTTGCTTCGGGTGTGGGCCAGACATCTTCAGACGTGGTCATGGACTTGAAAACATCGCTCGAAGTGCAGGCTAGTCGTGCTAGAAAAACTTTGCTAGACTTGCACAGGGAGCATCCTCTGATAGAAAAAGGTGCTGAAGCTCTAGAGGTAGCTCCACTCGATTTGAGTGAAAAATCAACAAGGGATAATTCATGCAATAAATATCTGAATACATCCTTCCAGGCTGCTTTAATTGTCTACCCATGTCCTTTCTGCAGTCACAAGACCTACTACCCAGAAGTCCTGTGGATGCACAAAAGAATTTTGCACAAAATCAGCTGTAACTCAATGGTACCCCCTTGGGTTCAACAGAATGGATTCAAGAGTATTAAAAACAACCTGGTCTTTCTGGCGAGGAGTGGGCGCACTGGCCCCCCTCCTGTTCTTGGTGGTAAGGAATGCCAGCCTTTGCCCATTGCCAGATTTACACGTACTCAAGTGCCAAGTGCATTGCCAGGTTCCAAAACCAGCTCTCTTTCTGTTGGGATGACTGCAAAGTCTGGTAGTACGCATCAGTCAAAGGACAGTCATGCCTTCAGCCACTGTGGTCCACGCTTATCGGGTCTGGATGGATACAGACAGCCCAAGTTAAACCATTCCCAGGAGCAGTACAGCATAGCAGCACAACAAAAAAGTAAATATGAAGCAAATTCCAAAATTATACAAATGGGAACCTATAGTAGAAGCATAACGCCTACACAAACAGTCATATCCAGGCCTAGCACACAGCCTACAAACAGTAAGCAAGTGGAGAAGTATGTGGTTCCCCAGGGAAGTACTGGTTTTGCCCCTCCAGGTAAGCACTGTGCATCCGACTCCATGAAGGCCAAATACAACCCACTGCTGCAGTATCATCCTCTGTGTAAAAGTGAGCAGTACACTAAACATGAAGAGCCACCAGTGCCTCAGAGGGAGTCTCACATGAAGGCTGGGAATGAGATGAGGACATTGGCAAACTGCACAGCGGTAGCGCGAGCAAGTCCGGTACTGCAGCCCCAGCCTAGTACCGTGGGAATTTCTCCAGCTTTACACTCCAGCAAACAGGATGTGGGATCAGATGTGCATGAGAAACATTTGGACATCTTAAATATCTTTAAAACATACATTCCAAAGGACCTTGCTTCATTGTACCAAACCTGTGGTGCCAACAGCCCTGCCCTGGATCACACAGGTAAGATTTTCACAAGCCCTTCCATAGCTGAGGACATAGGCTTGCTTGTTCCTGCTTCACTCAGAGCCATGACATACTGTTTCCCGGTTTTTCCCTTCTCTGCCTTTAACGGTTGGGATTACAAGTTCATTGTTTTTATCATTGCTGGATAGGCTTGAATAGGTTTGTTTACTGCTCACTTAACACTGCAGCATCCCCCCTTGTGCACTGTGTGACATTTCTGTCACAGGTTAAATGTATGTGGTTCCACCTGGAGTACTGCTGTTCCTTTGTCCTCTTGCTTCAAGCAGGCTAGAGTTACACAGATGTGCTGTCACTGGAAGATCTCCCTGATATGCTGGTGCTGGCACACATCATCATCTTTTTGCTTCAGGCAAAATAAACATCCTCTGGGGCTTATCTGTGATGTTATTTTGGAGGTTTTGTTCAATTTTGTCTGCAAACAAGCCTTCCAACAACGGAGAGGAATAATCACTTGTTGTTGTCCTTTGTCTTCCTTGACAAAAGTCTTAAGATCTTCCTTGTCCATGTCAGAGATTGCAACTGTATTTTTTAAATGAGTCTTTTGATCTGTTTCTATGTTTTTAATTAAAAGGAGGTAGGGCTGAATACATGCCTGCTAATTCACGTAAGCAGAAAACTCAGTTGTGCAAATAGCCAGTTTAAAAGTTCAGGGACTAAAAAAGTTCAACTGCCATGTTAAAAAAAAAAGAAATCTATGTATTTACATTTGAAACCATACTCTTCTGATGATTTGCCAGAATTAGTTTGTCTGAGTGGAAACTGAAAATCATACTGATTGACTGCACATGAAGTGGAGGTGTGTCTGTAGGCGAGGAGAATGGGAGCCAAAGTCTCACCTCTCACCATTTATAAACCGTCCCAGTTTTTTATACCTTTCTTCTCTTTGTAGAAGTTGTGCAAATAAACTCCCAGACTGGTGTTCTAGTGTCCTTACCGGACATAATGCCCTCTGGTTTGTCAAAAGTATGTGTGAAATGGAGCCTGTGACCCCATTTTGCAAGTGGCACGAAGTCCAGGACATTTGGAAGCTGGTAGTCTAAGGACAGCTATGGTCTTGTACCCAGAGGGTGTGTGAAAGTTGACCACTCTGGTAGCTGTAAGGCAAGGAAGGAGCCATAATGTTTGATCAGATTTTGGTGGAAGGATCTTTTGGAGAAGACAAGGTCTGTCAAACATAGTCCATGAGGTGCACCTTTAAGCCACTCTGTTGTCAGCTTTGCTCAGTCATTTAACAACTAATGCTTTGTAGGGGGCAGCTGTTACTTATTGAGCAGATCATTTTGCAGGTGGTTAGGGGCTACCTGATGATTGTAACGAACTCCAGGCTCCTGGTTTTTGTTAACGAAGCAGGAGAGGATATGTTCAGTTTCTAAAACTGCAGGTTTTTTTTCCCCAGTGCCTAGGAATGTTGTCTAAAGTTTCTCCCTGCTCATTTCCTGCTCTAAATACCAATGAATTCACCACCAACTTGGGGTACCTTCACTTGGGTACCTACCTTGATGTTATTTAATATTACATTGTGTCAGCCTGCTCAGTGAAATCTTACTGATACAGTGAGCTCCCAGCCGTGTTAGGAGGGATAGAGAAAACCAGTAAAAGCTAAGAACTAGAAGCTGACTTATTGAATGGAGGCATCAGAAAATTCATTATGACTGTTGGAACAAAGTAAAATAGGGGAAGGGTTTCCAAAGAGGTCTCTATTTACCTGCTTTTTAAAAGAGGGATTTTATTGGCAAAACGTTTTTGCTGTGCAGTGATTTCCAGAGACACTTTAACTGGAAGTTATTTAGTGCCCATCTCTACTTTGAAACCTCTTCATTCATTCCAAGTGTTTTACAGCAATCAAGTTTTCAGAATTTGAAGCCTCTTTTTTTTTTAATGTAGCTTGTCTTCATTTTATATACAACTTCCAAGTTGTTGATGTTTCTCCAAACCAGTTGGCATGATGGCTGTTTTTCATAGCACTCAAATAAAAAGCTGCTTCAGGCAAAAGGAACGAGATCCTACCAAAAAAAAAAAAAGAGGAGGGTAATTGAACTTTGTCTGAAATAACATATGGCCCTAGATAGGTTGAGCCCTGTGAGTCAGTATGCACCATACAATTTAGCCTTAATCTCGTAATGTGAATATGGCAATCATGACATGAAGGACAACCAAAAATCCTGCTTAGGTATACTATTTGTCATGTTTTTCCCTCAATGGAGTGTTTGTCCTTGGAAGAGAGTTGTTGTATGTACTGTTGTGATACAGCTGCAAACACAAAGCTAGCTGTACTTAGATTAGTTTGTTTCACACTGCCCAATCTTCCCAAATGCTTGTAGGGAGAATCTTACTGTTATCTTTAATAGTGGTTATTTATTTTGTTCATGATATTTACAGGAATCGCCATATTAGTAAAGGATGGGTTATGGCAGCAGATGCACTCTTTCTTTGGGTCTCCTTTGAGACCAGCTTTGAGCATCGATTTCTCAGGAACTCCCATTCGGATAGTCACATTCATTTACCTGTAATTTGCTAAGACCTGTAGTCATCCACCCTCTTTTGTTCATGTATAGGATAACTAGAGTGATGACTCATGGGGGTATTGCCTTGTGGCAGTGATGCCCATGGCTCAAAGCTCGAAACTATCAAAAGCCATGTAGTGCTGCTTAGGAAATACAACAATGGCAAATATACCTGGAAGTGATGCATTTTTTTCCACCTGCTTTTTGAATAACTACCATAAAGTGAGAGCTAGGGAGGGATTAGATGAAAGTCTTACACCCACTCATCTTTGGCATTCATACAGGGTATGTTGGCTTACAACAGCATCCTCAACCTTCCCTCATACCCGACTCGGGTGGGAGCAGTGCTTCCATGAAGGCTATTGGATTGGGTCCTTAATGGCTGCTGAGACAAGTGTATTCACCTTCCACAGAAGGGAGACGTGGGTTGTAGAGGGGTTAAATCTCTTTCCAGAGGTGTCAGAATGATGACCTGAGGAAGCTCTCCTGGCCTTCATAGGAGCTGCTCTGCCAGTTTCTGCCTGTCCAGTAGTTGGCATGGGGCAGTCCAACAAAGGCTACAGCTGTTTTCTCAGGACAGCTCCTTCAGCTTTTTGCTTTCAAGTTTTCAGCTACAGTTCTGGCCAGTGAGGGGAAAATGCTAGTAATAGATCAGAAAACCTGCTTTAATCTTGGCTGCCTTACAAGGCAAATCTGTCTCATTATAGTACAGTAGGGCTCTCATTGACGTGTGATTCTTTTTTTAAATATTACTTTTTGAGGGTTTTGTTTGTTTGTGTTGCTGGGTATACCTGATGGGGATTTTCTCCAAAATCACAATCTTCTATTTGACTCCCAGAAACTTAATTCTTGAGAGCAGGAGTGTTCAAGTATATTATACAGACTGTGCTGCCATCTGCAGGAGGTGCTATTATAAAAGAAAAGAACAATTTGTGAGTGGGGCATTTGTTTGGGTTTTTTTGTGGTTTTGTGGGGTTTTTTTTGTTTTGTTTTGTTTTTTGCAGCCAGACATTTCTTTCCAATATATGGTCTGGTGAAAACCATGACAGGACGCTTGGTGTCATAACGGCAGAGTAAATGGCAGCTGTCTTCTTTTCCATTCATCTTTAGGTGCAGCATCCATATTTTGGATGAGTCCTCTGGCATCCTGCAGTTGATTTTTCAGTTGTGTGGAGGGTTTTGGTTGCCACTTTTTTGTTCATAATTTTATTCTTTTTAAATGCTGTAACAGGAAGGGGAATATGAAAAAAAGGCTGAAACTTCACTTCTGTTGACAACTCTCTCAGAATTTCTTTAAAAGCCAAAGTATTCCAGTGGCAACTGGAAACATCAACTCTTTCCTTCCGAAGAGGGCGTTTTACCAAAATAGAAAAGATGATGTTCAAACATAATTTTTTTTTAATAGTAAAAAAGCCCAATAAAAGTCAAATGTGTCTTTTTTGATCAGCAGCAAAAAGACAAAGACCAGCCCTTTAAGTCAGATGCTGTAAACTGACCTTTGGAGAAAAAGGAGAGGTTTGAGCGGTTTTCCACAAATGCTAATGGCCTAGAAAACATGTTTACCCAGGGCTGGGGGAAGGCTGCTGCGCTGCTACCAGCTCAAAATGTCCGGAATGACACTTTCATTCACAGATGTCTTTCGTCTGTGCCTCAGAGGTCCAGGGTCAAAGCAGCACCGGCAGGCAGGTAGGCAGGGGCGAAAGGTTTGATCAGTCTGCGATGGCTCCGCTCACTCTGCATTTGTCTCTGAGGTATTGCCGCCTGGGGGGGACAGTCGGGCTCTGGTCCTACTCACTTCCTATTATCCATGTGACTTGTCTCCGCCACGCTGGAGTCACTTTGATTTGCCTGATGTACTGCTTGACAAAGCTGGGTGATGGCTGAGAAGTGGATCCAGCTGCTCTGAAAAGCGCACACCTGACATGCCAGTCCTGGTGCGGGCACATCATGGGGAGCATTTTTTAATTCAATGTAATTTATGCATTCTTGCAGTCCTGTGTGTGCCTGGCCTGTCAGCCAGTGCCTAGATGAAGGCTGACAGTTGTCATCCAGGGCCTGAAGGTAGCCTCACATAATGACACATTAGACATACTAATGATGTTTTCTTCTGGCATAATGTTTTCTTCTCAACTTTCCTCTCTCCTCTTTCCCCCCCCCCCAACCCCCCCTTCCTCTCCCCCCCCTCTCTCCTGACTACAGGGATGCTCAGGACACAAACACGCCAAGGAGACTGTGTCTGCAGAGAATGTGGAAAATGCTTTACCCAACCCAGTCACCTCAGGACTCATCAGAGGTCCCACGCAGGTACCTTTTCACACTTGCTCTTTCTTTCTCCCTTTCCCACTTGCCTGCTTTCAGATTCTGCTAACAAAATACCAAGAATTACATTTCACATCCCATGTTAACCTGAGTAATTCCAGTACCTAAATCTAACAGACAGGTTTTTTTTTTTTTACGACTATTGTTCTTGTTCTCCAGATATTGCTTACCTGATCCCTGCCCAAACTCCATAAAATTGCAATGCATTTAAGATAACTCTGTTTGCAAATGTTTTATTTTAATTAGAGAGTAGGGTACTCGGAAATGAATATGCTAATGAATTCTTTTGCCACCAGCACAAATTGAAATCAAAGTACCCCTTTCAGCACAACATAAGGCTTTGTTTTGCCTCATCGTTGCTGTTGACAGGAACATTTTTGTGGGAAACAAGATTTTTCCTCAGACTGGTCAGCCCTAGCAGCCATTTTTAACCTGACACAATCTGCGGTTGAGGCCGGAGGAGCCTAAAGCCACCGGTGCCTTGAGACCTCCTGAGCATTGCATGAGACAGTGAGACTAGCGGGTTCCTCCCCAAAAGTGTGAATGATGCATACATAAGCCAGTCTGATGCAAAATGACAGAAGCCAAATGGTAAGTAATGCAAGAAGAGGGTCCCTTTACACATATACTGATAATTAATGTTGTCAGTGATTGCTTTCTTCAGCGCTGAAGTCTGAATTAAAAAGGGCAGTGGCCCTAGGCTGCCATTAGCACACTCTCTTACAGTAAGTGTTACGGTAAATTGGTATTTTCCGGCCACAGGCTAGTAGCTGGTGTCTTTTTTTGAACGTGGTTAATCTGTAATGGTCTCAAATAATGTACACACACTAACGAAGCTTGAATGTTCATCTGTTAACAAGCCCCCTTGTTCCCACAGTGGTATTTGAGTCTAATGGACTCCGAGGTACTGAAGTTCACACCACCTCTGCAGATGCTCCAAAACAAGTATGTTTTACAATTAATTGGATGTTTGGTTTTTAATGTAGTAGCTGGGAAAAAGTTGCACAGTAATACTCATCACTAAAGTACTGACTGTTTTATAACATGTATAAATAATAATGGTATTACTTAATTTTTAACTCTTAAATTTTTTAAGCATTTTAACAGAATCTGTTATATAGAGAGTCAGTTAATTGTAAAGCAGGTAGTTAGTGTTTAAATAAACATGTTACTGGCTTACTGGGGACTGGGTGGGATAGGTAACTCTGTAATGTGCAGTGACATGTAATCGTGAGATAGAAATTTGATTTTACAACTAACACATTTTCTGCTGCCACAAGACAATTAATGTTTAGTCTGTATTTTTCAGATTATTTGTACCCTGATATGCAGTACCTGGCCTTTGAAAGGCTCTCATCTACCAATTTCTGTGGACTCTGTGTGCTGTTGTGCTTTCCTGTTTCTACTATACAGTTTCCTGTCTTAACAAACACTTCTCAGTTACAGAGAAAATCGTTAAACTGAATTTGTTTCGTGTATCTTACATCTTTGGAGACTAGTGTTATAACCTGGACCTTTCTACTCCATCTTGTAGCTTGGCAGGTGGGTTTCAGGGCACACCTCCTCATGGGCAGTTTTCTTTAATTGTGAAACTGCCTCCAGCATCACTCACTTTTCCTTTCATCTGTGATTTTAGCTTTACTTTTCATTACAGCAGCCCACATCCTCCTGTCTCTTATTAAACTATTGCAGGTGGTTTTGGCCATGCTTAGATGATTTTGGCCATTGGTTTCTACTTTCTCAATAAACCTCCTCACTGGGCACCACCACATCACCTAGTTCATATGCCGCACCCTTCATGGAAGCTTTTAGGACCTTCTCAGTCGCAGTTGCATCTTTCTGGCCCAAAGGTTGTGTAGGGAACCCAGCCTCTGCTACAGGAGCATCTTGTTAACATCAAGCCATAGGAGTGGCCAGCAATTCTCATAAAGTTTTCAAGATGGCATAGCACTTCGTTATTGTGGGCAATGTTTGCTTTGCTTTGCATTAATGGGACAGTAACAGCAAAGTTATTCTATAGTGCCCTCCTCATGATGCTGGATAAGCGTAAAGTTGTGCAAGGACACATCTCTCAATAACAGAGACAGAGTGAATGGCAGAGACACAGACATGGTAAATGTGACAGTGAAACACTGCAGCTCTGCCAACCAGCTCAGCTAGTCTTTGGTTTTCACCAATTTAGTAATGTAGATTTAGTAAACTTAAGCATCTTTTAAAATGCTCTTTCATCTTTTCATGCTTGTGGTTTTCTCTCATGTGTAGTTAGGATTGGATTCTGAGGGCATCTGGGCTTCTTCCTTCTAGAAGACAATAAAAGGTCAAAGTTGGAAATACATTTCCAAAAAATTCTGAAATAGCCATATCTATCCAAAAGGAAATGTGGCAGCTCAGACCACATCTGGACTCTTTTTGTAATTTGGGTTATATTACTGCACAATACATTTACTCATAATCTTGTCTTTGTAGACTACTGTCATGCCAGAATTTATTGACTAACTTCTTCCATGGCAAATGTAGCTTGCTCTTGCAGTCTAAGTCCTTGTCAATCTGTCTTCAGAGCATTTGATTAAATTACAGCATGTCTCAATATAGCAGAATTCTGAGGAGGGGTTAGCTTCACGAGTCACTTCATCTCTTGCCGGTCGGTATTGCTCTCACAGAAAATGCAGTATGATCACTTCTCCAGGAGATAGTTCCCTTTCTTTTGTCTTGTTTGTTCCTCAGTATCAGCCTTTGTCTCAGTTTGTCAGCATCTGTGTCGGGTAGGATTATTCAGTTGTCTGCTGTTTTGCTTGTTCTCATTGCAAGCAGGCATTGTGCTCTCCCAGAAGACTCCACCTGCACAGTCCCTGGGCATTACAGAGGGAATACTCTCATTTCTACCTGCAGCTGTAGGGGCCTTCAGAAGCACAGAAATGAGCTCGCACTGAGAACGGTGCCTGCAGCATTCCGTTAACATTACCATTTCCCACTTTAAACGTTGTCACTCCGTGTCTTCATTTCATTTCTTAATTGGGGACAGATCTGTTCATGAGAGTTTATGGTGTAAAGTCAGTTCAAGTTACAGAAGTACCGTGCACATGCTCCAAGCAAGAAACAATAGTTACCGTGTACGATAGCCTGAGAAGGAAAGGGTGGGTTTTTTTAATGTCAAGTGGAAATGATTCACTTTACATAATGTTTCCTCCTCACAGGTAAAATATCTTCCCCTGAGTAGTCTGCTGAAGAGTAAAAATATTAACATTAGTATTTCACGGTTCCCCCATTCCCTTCTGTAGTCAACCAGAAGATCATCTCTAAAGGTTTCCTTTATGAAATAATGTTAGCTAGGGCTTTTAAAATCCCCCAGCATGGTAGCTTACAACTGTGCTTCATTATATTGCAGTCTTATCACAGAATAATTCTAATTGTGCATGTTAAAAATAGGGTCTACAGCCAGGCTTTTTCAAAAATGATCCAGGTAAATCTATATTTAGATGTCTAAATAAGAACCCTGCATTAGAGTAGTGAACCACCAACAGGACACGCAGGCGTTCGGCATCAGTGAAAAGGAGATCACCTGTAGGAGTGTTTAAAAAAGATCAAACACACACGATTTTAATACTGTTAGCACTGGGCTGTGTTTCATGCTTTGTTGTCAGCACCAAGGAAATATAAATAAAATGTAGGAAACAAAGTGTTCATTCATAGTGTTATTTACTGTGGTTTCTTATTTTTACTTGAATGCTTTTAAAAAAAAGGACATTTTTACATAAAGTGAGTTTCCCATGAACTGTGGAATATTTCCTACTCTTCTTTATCTAAAGGACAAAAAATGCTCATTACATACCCCAAGTCAATACAATCTATGCAGTCATGTAGATCCTGTTGAAATGCTGCCATGTTAAACATACTGAATATTCTGAATATTTTTATAAATGCTAAATATCCCAATGTATACATAATTACGCTTGCTTATCCACAATGAATATGTATCTTAATTTGGAATACACTAAATAACATCCAAAGATATGATTTAGTAGGCATGAATTGGGGGAGCACACTCCAATTGCATGTACAGGGAAAGACAAAAGCTGGCTCCCCTTTGGAAGGGGCCTTGCAACAGCGCGTGTCTCAAAGCAGCTGTGTGTATCTTAAAGGAAAACTCTCCTAAAGCATGGGGTCATTTCAGAGGCACTGCCTGGTGCTGCAGCGTTGCAACCAGAAGCCCAATTCCCAGTGGCACAGGAGTCAGTCTTGAGCCTGCTTTTGGAAAATGGCGACAGCAGTGATAGCAGTTTCTAATACGTATGCTGTGCCTTTAATTTCTGCTTCTGCATTTTTAAAGCCCTGTAAAAGCTTGGCCCACTGTAGGAATATAGTCTATCCTCTATCAGTGTCAGTCAGTATGCTCTAAAAATTTTAAGGGACAAGTAATTGGTTATTCAAAAGGCATGATTTACTGGTTATCAATGAGGAAGAGTTCTGTTTAATTGAGAGTATATATATATATATATATATGTGAAGCATATTTGCAGCACTGGAGCCAGAGACACCAAGTTCTCTGCTTTCTCTGCAAGTGAAACAAGCAAAACCCCCAAAACCCCAACCTTTGTCCTCTGCAGAAAAACACCCTTTATTCACAGAAAATCAATTAGAAGCTACAGTCCAGGACAAAAAAAAAAACAAACCAACTACTGGTATCATGAATACTTCTGGCTGAAGCTTTTCTCATGCCCGAAGGCACTGATGGTCCTTTTCTGTGAAACAGCAGTGGGCATCACAGTTCTTGGGCCTCATTCACTGAAAAGAGAAGTTTGCAGTAGGTCCTGTGTGACAGGGGTAAAACACCTTCATAAGGGGTTCATAAGCCTTAATTTTCTCCCCTAAAAGTATTTTAAAATATTTCTTGCAGTGTTCAGTACTTGAGTTAGCATGAATGTGAGCAGTCAGAATTTGGGGGATAGACAGATTGGAAAGAACCATCAAGAAAACACTGTGCATATATGTGTATGTGTATTGTAAAGGAGCTTGGGGGAAAAGCTGGGGACATCTGTTACCTGTAATGTTTTTTTAATCCAGCAGTACTACAGCTGTGCTTGTCCTAAAGCAACTTTGGTGAGAAGGGGAGGAGGCAAAAAAACCCAACCCAGATTAAAAAGTTTAAACTATTGGTTTCTGAGTTTGGCTGGTTTTGGTTTTCTTGTATTCAAAATTTTAGTGCTGTCTGTTAAAAGTCCTATTTATGACATTTGTTCTTATGAAATGTCTTGCCCCAGTTCCTTGCAGAGTTTCTTCCAAAGATCATGATTAATAGTTCAGTCCTCATTATTGCAAATGTTATTTTTAAATAGTTATTCTGAGAACAAGAATTCCATTAATCAAAATAATAGATAATGAACAAATAAATGGCAACCTAATTTGTCTCGTTCATACATATGGAGATTATAATGCAAACAATCAAGGAACCATGGAGGCTGCTGTAGTGGCATCTGAGTAATATGCATGTACTGTATGTCTGTTACTTTGTGAGCATTAGAACAGGATTAGCAGCTGTAGTTCTTGTCTCAACACTTTCCCCTTGCCAGCAACAGGAGTGGTATCTGTGCTCCAAACTGGTCATTGCAGTTTATTTGAATGCTATGCAGTAATCTGTCCTTCAGTATATTAATAGGTATGCAAACTATTCTTTTCCTGTTAACTGGTGAAAAGCCCTAGAAGTTGGTATGAAAGCAGCTTTGGCATGGAAGCTCTAGGTTTCATGTAAAGATCTGCCAGTTTTTACTGAAGGTGAAGAAAGGTTCCTTTTAAAAAGGGAAAACATTTCACTTTAGGAAGAATTCTATCTAACTATGTATAAGCCAGTTCAAAATCTGACTGTATCCTTGGGCCTGTGGGAGTACAGGGGGTTGAGCCACTGGGTGGGGTTTGGCACACATGAATCAGGTGCTGTTTCTTGGTGAAACTGGCAGCACAGATATGCTTCAGCCACCCACTCACCACCTCCAGCCCCTCTGCACTGTCCTTACAGGTGTGGGGAGGATGGATTATTCTTTTCACAGGTCCCCTGTGCTGTGTGGTCCATGGCATGCTTTCACCACCTCACAGGCTATCCATCCCAAAAGAGCACCCCTAAATTACAGCCCTTTTTTCAGTTCTTACCCAGGGAAACTGGGACAAGGTGCCTTCCATCCCCTTGCCTCTCTCCATCCCTCCTCCCCTACCCTGGTGAAGCCCTGCTGTGCTCCCCTGTGTGTGTAGAGGCAGTTCGATACAAGACGTTTTAATGATGAATGCCTCCTCCTGGAATTGTGGCTGTGTCTCTCAGGCATGATGCAGCCGCGCAAAAATGTAAAGCATCTTTCTTAGTTTACTGCAGGAAATTCAGCATCCAACTAAGGAAGTTTTATCACATCTCTCATTCAGTTACTGTTTCCTACATTTCAAATATACTGCAGTCTGTACAGCAGCTTTTTTTTTCTTTAATTTTGTTGCAAATCTTTCCGACTTAAACCAAACTTTGACTGGTAAATGTCATGAATCTCAGGCCAGGTTTAATTAGGAATTTTCTAAATCTATTAACAAAAGAGATGCACTTAATACATTATGTCAACCAGAGCTGAGCTTTCTTTAGCTATTTCGAGGGCTGCCATAGGCACAGCTTGAAACTTGCTTGGATTTTACATGGGTGCTGTATTTTATGTTGCATTAATTTAAAATGGTCTGTTTCACTTCATCAAGACTTTAGCTTAAGGATAATGCATTTATGTAAGATTAATCTTGCCATGTTGTTTTAGGATCAGGATTGTAAACTGCATTGTTCCGACAGTGATGTTCTAAATGTCATTTTAAAGCTTTTCTTAGGAGCTGCAGGCTTCCACTTATTCATGATGTTATCTTTAATTTCACTTGATTTTAGAATATCCCTGCTATTTTTTCCAACATGGTAATTATTCATGAAAATTGGCTAAGAAAATAGAAGAAAGATGACAAGGGGGGGGGCGAGTGGAAAGCTGCCTTAGCATTTGACAGACCTGCCCAAGAATTCAGTTTTTCTTCATTCAGCTGCCTCTGTGACCTCAAACTTGAGCCTTTTTAAAGCGCTGATCTGGTTATGAATCCTTTTTGGCTAGCACAAAATTCCAGTTTTTGGAGACCTCTTCTTTCCCTCCTTGTTCTCAGCCTTTTCTGAACTGCTCCATGAGACGCTATGACTTACTGTTGTAGTTGAAAGGGGACTTTATATGAGTCTGACACACTTTGCTCTTGGTGGAGATGTTTTAAAAAAAACCAAAACAAACCAAAGAACTTCTCATGTGGTGGGTCAAGATGAATGTATGTGATGCTAATAAAGGTTAACAAACACCAGCAGGACTTGCTGGAGGGTCATGCCTGGGAGCAAAGGCGAGAATGAGCTTTTTTCCCCATGTTGTCCTTCTTGCAGGGGAGAGACCACGTCGGTGCGGAGATCACCCACACGCTGCATCTCCGAAAGGGAACCTAGAGCCTTGGCAGAGGAGCCCTGAGGCCAGCGGCCCCCAGCCCGAGGGGCAGCGCCAGCAGCCCCCCACGCAGAGCAGAGCAGCCCCCCTGCAGCCATCGCCTCACCCGGAGCTGCTGCGCGAGACTGAAACCAGCGCTCTGCCAGGAGGGGGGGGTGCCTCTGCGCTGTTAATCATTTTAAAATAAATGAAGATGCTACACAAGATATATATAAATTGACGTACTAATCAGTCCCATGGTTCCTTGTTTCCTTTATAATAAACAGTGGAGTTGGCAAGCACTGTGGCAGCACGAGGCATCTATATTAATCAAGAGAAGTTTGAGACACTGGAAAAATTAAACTTTATGTGATTTGGACAGCATGAAGAAGTTAAGCACTGTAACAAAAACCTCCCTGATGCTCACAATGACTGTTTGATACATTTGAAAAACAGCAGTGGATTTGAGGGCTGGAGAAGTATTAATTAATGAAACTGCCACTGCCTGTCATGCTGAAAAGCAAATTAAAAAAAAAAAAAAAAACAACAACAGAGAGAGGAAAAATGAGGGGTGCGGGGGGGAAAGGTGGCATTCGGTGCTGAGAAAGCAATGTTTGATGAAGGATTAAAGGGACTAAAGAGAAAGACCGTCATTCTGCAATGGTTTGTTTCATTACAGTTTGGGGACCACTTGCATTTCTAGTGCTCTTGCTCTTGACTGCGCACCATTAATAGTATGTGAATATGGAAATTGAAACACTTCCAGAGAAAAGCTTCTATTCTGCTTTGGAACAGAAAAGCTGGTCGAACACTAAGAAAAAAAACAGGCTTCTGTGTTTTACTCTCAGGACCTTTTTTTTTGTAACAGGGCTACTTTCTTCAACCTGATCACAAAGGAAGTCTTCACTTAGAGAGAAAAAAAGAAAGGAAATATAAAACATTCAGCTGTCTAATGCCGCTGATCTTTCTGTTTAGAAGAGAAAAGGTGTCACTGAATGAATTCAGGCAGCCCTGGGGCTGTAAGGTGCTCTCTGCTCTTTCGTTTGGTTCAGCAGGCCAGCTACTGCTCCTCCTTGGGCCCAGTGATGTTCTGGAAAGACGAGGAAACTTCTTTTGTGGTGGCAGGTTAATGTTCATATAAATGTGTCATGTCTTGTACTTGGTGATCACTGGTGGTGTTAGGAAAAAAAAAGAAAAAAAAAAGCTTTATATACCTCTTCTACAGTAACTCTTTAACTGCAAGTTTTCAAGGTGGGGTTGTGGCACATAACAGGTTGTTAAACCATGCAGTGTAAGCAATTAAAAATGTATTCCACCGATTTAAATATTTTCTTTTCTTATTGCTGTGACACTATGTGTGATGGTAATATTTCTGAGAGTTTCAGATTTTGCACATATAATTTTATGCATTATCAAAAGTTACTGCTGCCTTGAAAGAAAATGTTCTGTGAAAATTTTTGCAAAAGCTTTACTAGTTTGTTTTTTTTAAATTGTAACATTTTGTAAAGGCAGGAAATGGAGTTAAAAAACCTAGCATGCTAAATATATTTTTCAAAAAAGCAATAATTTTACATGTACAGAAATGATGCTAACCTTTAATACAGGTGAGACCACAGTTTACTTAATACAGTAATGGAATAGTGCTGTTTTTGTAGAAATGGGCTTCTGACAAAGATTTGTTAAAAAAAAAAAAAGGCAGAAAAAACCTTAAAGTGTGATCTTTCTATTCTAACAGTTTTGGTGGGCGGGGGGTTGCTTTTTTAAAATAATCTAGTCAGTAATTTGGTCTGGACTACTTGTTACTTGTTTTAAATTACTTGACAGGTTTTGTTACTTTGCAACACTTGCAACAATGCAAATTAACTTCCTTATGTGTTTTTTTTAAATTAGATTTTCCTTAGGCTATTACACAAGATGTATACCAGAATCCTCTGTAAGTCTCCCTGTAGTTAGGAATGTCTGTGCAAATACTTAAAAGTGACTGTAATTAACTGTTCTATGAAGTTATTTTGAGGGAGGTTGCATAGACACATTCCGTTGTACACCAAAAAAAAAAAAAAACAAGAAAAAAAACAAGGAGAAGAATGAAAAAGTGGAAATATTTTGCTGTGTTGCTTAATGATTATCATTTTGGGTTTGCACTAGCTTTCTCAGTTTGTCAGTTTGTTTTGGTTTTGGTTTTTGGGTGGGGGGTTTTTTGTTTGTTTGGTTTTTTGTTCTGTTCTTTGTTTGTTTGTTTTGTTTTGTTGCTTTTCTGATTCATATTTTCCATGAAAGAAAGTAATGGTGACAGTTCAGGAATGCACAAAAGCTAGTTGCCTAATCTATTTGTTTGTGGTTTAGTTATTAAAAACTCTTCTACACCCAAAATGACACGAAAGTGTAGTGTACATTTGTAATTTCTCTCCTTTTTTTAATTGTATTTTTTTGGCAAGCTGAACTAGAAAATCTGAGTTAATATTTAAAGCCAAAACCTTCTTTCTGGAACTTTTCTTCCAGAATCCATGACAGAGAAGCTAGTGCTGCCACTGCCATTACCAGGGTACTAATCAGCAAAGTTTACAATCATAATTTAGCTTCACGAAGAACAACAGTAGGGGAAATCAGTTTAAATAATTATATGCTGTGTATAGCAGAGAAATGAGATTTTCACTTAATTAAACAAGAAACAAGAGTGGGTGGAGGAAAGCCAACCTTAAAGACCATCTGTTTTCACAAGAGAATCCCACGATTTTTGTTTTCTTCTATATCATTGTATTGTATTGATTTGTTATTTTAGTTAGGCCATAGTATTTAAAATGAGTTATGTTCCATATTTATTTAGTCAATGGGCTTTCACCAGCTCTTTTAAGCAATGTGATAAGTTTTTTTGGCATGACACACTCCTGTAAAGCCCTTTTATGACTGTTACAGGGACTTTCTACTACCTCTACCAGTCTACTGTTTCTTCTTCTTAACAGGTTTTTATGGTGTTGCAAGTCTAATGTAACTTAGACAATAAAGGGTTTGATTATCTACACTGCAGATTCTCAGTGTATCTGCCATCTCTCTCTCTCTTTCCCTCTTTCTCTCTTTTTTTGTGTGTGGATTATTACAGCTAAAGTGTGGAAGATCTCTTTTATTATAGCTGAAGTGAAAGACAGACCACCTTCACCAGGGTATTCTTGTGTCCTGAATATTGTACACTGACCAAAAGTTGAACTTGGAGAAACTTTGTCCACAGACCTAATCAGCTACTACATTGCCATTGTGCTGCTTGCATTCTCGAAATTCCTTCTGTCACAAATGCTATGTATAAATCGGTGCATTCTACAAAATGTAAAGCCAACTGGAAAGCCCAGACGGTTTTTAGGCTTGTATTTTAAAACCACTTAGAGTCCTTAATGGAAAGCCTTAGCATAAATTTCTGCCTCTGTCCTATCAAAAACTCGGCTTTAATGAAAGCAAGTGGGTTTTATCCCTTGGAAAATACCTTCTGCTTGCTGGTGCAAAATTTGTTCTGCTGTTAACTGTAAGATAAAAATCTGTCGCTGGAAGGATTTCCAGGTGTTGACATCATGCACATTTCATGGTAATCCCTGTAAGCGTGTTGCTGCCTTCTATCCTTTGCAGTACTGTGTGTTGTGTAGCACATGTTCATTTGTCCTACTCGATGCATCAGAACATGTGTGATGTTTTGAGCCATTTTACAAAATTGTGTTATTCAAGTGGTAGTGCATCCCCCTGCTGTTCACTCGCTTTCATGCCCAAAGGGTTTGTGACCAGGCCTGTGTTTGATTTTGTTCTTCTTTGCTGTATTCCTGTGCTGGACTACCTCAATTGTATCTCAGCAGCTTCACCAGGAGTGCTGGAATTCACTGACACAGGTGGGGATTTCTCCTTAAAACACCAGTCTCTCACAAAGATGTGGAACAAAGCAAGGTGTAACATCTTTATTAGGTTCTTACTGTATAAAGTGTGTTGGATTAAAAGTGGGAAAGGTTGCATTTTATGACAAGTCAAATTTCCCACTGTCCCTGCAAGCCAGTAGTTTTAAGCTAGCAATTCTGTGCAAAGCACAGACATACTCTCCTATTAACTGCTTTCCATGGAGCTCTGTGAATGATGGCATTTTTGAGAAGGACTGTAACCACATGTTGACATCATTAGCTAGCTCAAGGTAGACAGTAGTATTACAAAGGTATTTTTGCTTGTATTTTTTCCTTCGGGTTCATTAGGATTGCTTTTGGGAGAAAGAAAACCACAACCAACTCTAAACCACAGGAAAAAATTGCCTTTTATTCAAGACTGGTAGTCAAAGAGCAGATGGTACATGGGAGGAAAAAAAAATCCATATGTGTTGGATATAAGCAAGTGTTTCTAAGTTACTAGCCAAAGTGAGGGATGCTTTTGCTAGTTAGAAGAGGATATGTTTTGAGTAGGAGGCAGGTAGAGACCGGGGGTTTGGTTTGTTGTGGCCTAGGTAATGGTATCAAGAGCATTAACGTGACCCATTTTTGTGGGTCTGAATACTGAGGTGGATGTTGCTCATAGGCCATAAGCAAGAGAGATGAAAAAAATCACATGAAATATCAGTAAGGGGCTAAGTTTTGGCCCTCTGAAATTGAAGTAGATGGAAAGCAGTGTCTGAGAAAGGCCGAAGCTGAGGGCAGGACCAAGGAGAAACCAGGAGCAGAGTGAGAGGTTCAGAGGAGAACCACCATAGAGTGAAAAAGTTGCCAAAAAAGGCAAAGTCAACAGTCTGAGAGATCAAAAGGATCTGGAAATGGAGCAGAAACTGCAAAGCCTAGCCAGAAGAGGTGTATGCCCATTGCAAAGGGGTTCTGTTCCCTGAAAGGGAGGAGGGATGTGCAGGTAGCTTCTGGGGAGACGGATTAGAAACTTCTGAAAATAAGCACATAATTTAAACTCAGTGACGCATCTTATTCTCCAAAAACGTTCTTAGCCTAAATGATGTTCTGACAAGGGAATGCCTTTTCTGATCTTTACTCTCTTGACTGATGGGTAAACCAGAGGTAGAACTATAATTATCAGTAGTTGAGGCTGGACTGAAGGGTCTGTCCAATACCTAAGGGGTTTTGAGAAGCATATTGCTCTTTTAGAGAAACAAGCAGACTGATTAGCCCCAAGCAGCATGAGGAAAAAAGGAAAAAAAACAAGGCAGACAAGAAGGCATTGTTTTTTAAGCACATGCTGAACTGGAGTAATCCTTTGAGGATGCTAGAGGGTATATTCAGATAGCATACCTAATACAGAGTATTTTAAGATGCCTCATAGTATGTTGGATAAAAGAGCTGGAGATGCTTAAAGCTGTTAAGAAAAGATGTACAATGTTAAAATGGCTTCAGACCCTTGACTCTCTCCTTCATGAAATCCTTTGTATCTCAAATTTAAGTTGTGGTTCATGTGAGATTGGTACAAATGGCTTGATTTGCTTGTCCCTTTGTCACCAGGTGAGTTACTTGTCAAGAGTTTAGAAAATGTGAGTTACCCATGTTTCCTTTCTGTAAGTGAAAATCTGTGCATGTCATCTTTCATCATCATCAACCAACCCAAGTACCACAGGAATCTTGGAAGGTTTTTTTAAGAAAAGAAAAATGATTTATTTATCTTCTAAGTATTCATTGTTATGGTATGACATAAAATAAAAGGGACACCGACTGTCCAGTTCATCTCACTCCCAGAATTCAACTTACTTTTCTGAGACAGTGCAGTGTCATGCTTTGCCTGGGACAATTAACAGGCCTCTGGTTGTTTCTGAGACCTGCAAGTTGCCACAGGGTGCTGGAGCAGTACTTCTATGAGGGATTTCCCTTGGGGAAGGTAGGTCACAAACTGAACCACTTCTTGCTTTTACCTTGAGTTTTCATCAGTTATGCTCATGCTGCAGAGACACTGGGTCTACTCTTCCACACGGGAGCCAGCAGTGGAGGTCACTTCAGTAAGCTCATCCACAGAAGACCATGAACTTAAAATGGTAACCAGTTTCCTAGCTACTGCTATCCTAAACTTCCCTTCCTCATGTGTTCCTCTCCTCCTTCAGAGAGGTTGCTTGCACCACAGAGGAGGTAACATCTCCAGAGCAGTGGTGGAAACAGGCAACTGGGAAGAGTTTTCTGTTTTCAAGAAGTCCACATCAGGAGCTTGCCTAGTCCCATTCCCTGTGCTGGGGTTTCCCTACCTGATTGTCCCATCAGTTGTGTGGCCATGCTTCTGGTAACATGCAAAAGCCTGGTGAGGATATGTGAATGATTGATTTTTCCTAAGGGTTTTGTTGGTTTTGTTTTTTTTTCCCAAATATTTTTCTTTTTAAATATTGACAGAGTAAAGAGTATCCTTGGACTGCATTGTTAGACAGGAGGAAGCACATTTTATACCTGTAGGAATGGTAGGTCTACTGGTATGTTCTAGGGAATGACATTTGGAAATTTGCTAACTGGAAGGTGGAATTATGTGGACATTTGCTCAGGTGCTAAGTCTCTGGTTGGTCACCATCCCTGTGCCTTGAGAGTGTACGGCCTCCTGATGCCACTGGCCCTGGGGTGACACTGGGGTGGTGAAGGGGAACCTGTACTTGATGTTTCCCCAGCAATGACACACGTGCATGGCTCTTCCTTGGGCTCCTTTCCCTTACCTGATCACTTCCTTGGTTCACAGCCAGCAAGCAGGGGGAAGCTCTGGTCTCTCATGTTCCAGGAGCCGCATCCACCAGGACAGAGCTGTGAAGGGAACTGGTGCTGGTCTGACCCCTGCCATGGAGGAGGGTGGCTCTGCCTTGGCACAGCTGTGCTTTGGGGGTTTTTGTTTTGCACCAACCATGCAATGAGAGCAACCCAGGATCCAGCAGCCCTGTGCTTCTTTAGCTGGGGAGATGTTCCCCCTCCCTGGGGGACCTTGTGTGACGAACAACTGAGAGTCTTCTGGGCAGTGACTTCAGGAAAGGTACACTGCAACTCTGTGTTCATCTTCTGCAAGTAAGGGCTTCCTTGCATTTGGAACAGAGTCGTCTGTGAGTAGAATGAGAACTGCAGGAACTTCCTGAGCTAGGTTGAGTGCAAGTGCTAGGGTTAAATCCAGGCAGACCAAGCAAAATTCCAGTGACTTCACCATTTGTGGCTGCAGAAATAGTTGGGTGATTTTATAGATCTTTGCTCAGTGTTGTGTGTGGTGTTTGACAAAGCAATTTGGCAGATAGAGTGTTGGGGGTAGGGGGAAGGATAAGTAGTGAGCAAGTGTCAAAAATGACATAAGCCTTTCACTTGCTGCTGGCGAGGCTGATGATTTACTTCATAGCACTCTTGTTTATGGGCTACTCCATTTCCTACATTGCCCCTGAAAGGTCTAGTGCTTTCAGGGTTAGAAACATCTAAGGAATCCCCTGCAAAGTTACATGAGTTACTTTCATTTTGTCTCCTCTGACAGCACATGATATGAGAAATTCCATTGCTTTTAGGGTGATGCAAGTAGAAGGGGAATAGTCCAAGTGGCAGCAGTGTTATGTCCTAAACTGCTACTTTTTCAGACCATGACATTAAATATTTGGTAACTGAGTTCATTCTCCTTTGCATTGATTCTGTTGAATAAACAGTAACTTTAAAATGAGGCACAGCTGGAGTTACCCATTAAACCCACCTGAATTTTGCTTCTCAAGCTGTGTTTTCTGAGTATTTTGCAGAAAATGAGTTTAGAGAAATCATTTTGACTGTAGCTGGAATTACAATGCTTCTGGAATCTGAATTTGCAAGAAACAGGTGGCAGAGGAAGAAGCACCAAAACTGTCAACTTATATAAATGTTGACCGTGTTATTACTGAGGCTGGTTTGGTAAATGTGACTCCAGGGAGTCCCGGTGCCTCCTCTGGTCACTTTTTATGCCACTTTTGGCAGAATAATATGTAAGATTACAGTTTCCTTCATTATATAAAGGGCCTCTTAGGTAGGTGTCTGTCTGTACTGGTCACTGTATGATAAGAGACATTTCCTGATGCTAAAGCTGCGTGTGGGCTGCTATGCA